AACACCAACAACAATTCTAGGTGTGTAGTCCTAGTGTGGCACTTTGGTTTAATGCGCTGGACTGCAAGGTCGCTTTGAACCACAAGGTCGGCAATTCAAGTTCACCCGCCGCTCCTCGGAAACCCTATACAGGGATGTTAGGGGTCAGACTGATTCGACAGCATTTAACAACAACAAAACATTATAAATGCAGGAATTATAAAGGTCCTTGATCTCATAAACCTTATATTGTATTGTGGGGGAGACAAATAAAAGATAAGTAAATAAGTAAAATAATTTTAGGTAATGATAGGTACTGGGAAGACAACAAAACAAGGTGCAAGTGAGAAGCGGGGAGAACAGATCCTCAAAGAAAGCCACTCTGAGGACAGCCCTGGGATGATTTAGGGGAGGACCTCCACAGCAAGGGACCAGCCAACTCTTTTTCATGGAAGAAGAAGCTAGGTGTATGAGATGAACAGACAAAAAGACCTGTAGAAAATGTAAGACTATAAATAGCTATGTCAACACTAAAGGAAAGGGAAGAAAGTCTCTAGCCCTACCAGAATTTTAGGACATAAACTACAAAGCCATTGTTATAAAATAAAAAAAAAAGTATCTTAAAGTGGTTTGAAGTCCTGGTGTGGTGCTGTGGGTTAATGTACTGGACTGCAAGGGCAGTTTGAACCACAAGGTCAGCAGTGCAAGCTCACCAGCCACTCCTCAGAAAACCTATATAGGGTCGCTATGCATCGGAATGAACTCAATGGCACTTAACAACAAAGTGTGGTTTGGGGCAAACATGCACATAATGAATGGTACTAGCAAAGACTCCAATCAATGCAGACAGAACAGATTATAAAGCAGGTGGTGTTGGGGAAACTGTAAATGTAGAAAAATGAAAGTAAGTCATTCAACTCCAACAAATATAAAAGCTTGATATGAAAGCTAAAACTACAAATTTAATTAAAAATATAAAAAGAATGCCATTCAATAAAGGCAGGAAGTGACTGGCTTACAAGTTTTCAAGGGGGAGTTTAGTTTCAGAGTGTACGGGGGAAAGAAGAACTCCCACTAAATAGTTTTCATCTTGTCTAGACAAGTCTGGTGAAAGGAGATGGGGATAAGATTCTTACAATTCAAAAGTGAGTAATTGTTACCATAATGAATTGCGATTGTCACAACTGTAAAGGTAGAAGTTTTGTATCAAAAAGGGGGGAGTAGTTAATTTTACATTGCAGGAACAGAAGACCCTAGAATCATCAAAAAGGAGAAGAGCAGGAGCAGAATGTGGGACCCTAACTAGAGAAGCAGCGGCACCAGAGATGAGGATGGGGAGAGGTACAGGAGCTGAGGACTCCAGACTCACGGAAACAGAAAGGCTGTGTGCTGGTGGCCACGGGAGGAGGCAGGCTTGCAGAATGTGCCTTTTGGTTGGTTGTTTAAATGATTATATATTCCTGAGTGTTTTTGTGTACATTCTTCCCCTGCCCCCCAAAAAAACCAGAGGGAATAATAGAAGCAAATATTGTTGAATGATGATGCATGGAGGCGATTGTAATCATAACAATGAAATTTGATAGGATGAATATAAAACTGATGTTCTCCCCTGTAAACTATCACTCAATTCACACACACAAAAATAATAATGACGACGAAAAAAAAAAAAAAGGAAAAGAAAATCTTCCAAAATTAGATAGTAACAATAGAAGTACAACTCTATGAATATCCTAAAAACCACTGAATTTTTCACTTTAAAAGTTTGAATATTTTGGTATGTGGATTATATCTTATTAATAGTGTTATTTTAAAAAATAGTAATAAAATACATAATGCCATTGGAATCTAAGGGTAAGAAAAACATTGAGAAATTAAACTTCCAAAGTACAAATCATATGCAAAAACAATAGTTGTGCCAAAATTCAGAACTTTCTGTTCAACAAATGGCATAATGGACAGTTGTTAACAAATAACATATATTACAAAATCTAAAACTAAGAAATTACTACTTAAGCAAATTAAATCTTCTTTGGAGAAAGACAACATTAACCACAGCCATCAGCTGCTCCTCGGAAACCCTATACAGGGTTGCTATGGGTAGAAAACGACTCGACGGCATTTCACAACAACATACAGTTGATGGTGGTTGTGTACTGTGGAGTTAGTTACGACTCATAGCGACCCTGTATTGGGTTTCTGAGTTGTCAATCTTTCTGAGAGCAGAAAGCCCCAACTTTCTCCCTGGTGGACTTGAACAGCCAACAGTCCAATGCTTATCCCATAACTCCACAAGAGCTCCTTCAAGATGTTGTTGTTGTTAAGTGCCATTAAGTCAGTTCCAATCCTGTATAGGGTTTCCGAGGCATGGCTGGTGGGTTTGAACTGTGGACCTTGCGGTTAGCAGTTCAGTGCTTATCCTATAATGTCACATCAGGACTCCCTTTCAAGACTATCAATAGAAACTATCCAGATGAAGCTAGAGAAAGAGAAGAAGATACCTAATTCAGGAAAGAGTGTTTGACACCCTCTAGAACATGGGGTGGGGTGTTGAGGGTAGATGCGCTGGGCTGCAAAGTCTGTTTGAACTGCAACGTCGGCGGTTTCAGCTCACCAGCTACTCAGAAACCCTATATGGGGTTGCTATGGGCCAGAACCGACTCGATGGCACTTAACAACAACAACAGAACACGCTGAAAATAAGTGATGTCTGTGTAGAATCCCAGGAGAAAAAGAATGAGACAAATGCAATATTTGAAAGGAGAATGGTTAAGAATTGCCAAAACTGGTGAAATGTATCAACCAACAGCTTCAAGAAGCTCCACACACCCTGAGAAGGAAGAATCAAAGAAAGCAAGACCCAGGCGCATCAAAGTTAAACTACTGAAAGTCAAAGAGAAAAATTCTTCAAAGATGTCAAGGGTGGGATGGAGCAGCCAGAGGGAGAAAAGGCACATTCCCTTCAAAGTGGCAACAGCCCCACTATAGTCTGACTTGTCAACAGAAAAGACAGGCAAAGACAATGGAATGTCAGATGTAAAGGACAAAAAATACGTAAATAAACTAACAGTTGAGAAGTCTATACCATAAAAATGATAAGTACCCATCAGCACCCATCAAAAATGAAGGCAAAATAAAGGCATTTTCAGGGAAACAACAACAAAAATAGATTGCAATATACCTGCTAAAGAAATGCCAAAGAGAGCGAGCGCGTCAAGGGAAAAATAAAACAATAATGGAATAATTATTCCAGCTAAAATAAAAAACCCAGGCAGGATTAAACTGTAAATAAATGCTACTTCTAAGAGATACATTTTAAATACATATTGGCTCATAGGAGCACTGGTGGTAGTGTTGTGGGTTACGAGTTGTACTGCTAACCACGAGGTCAGCAGTTCGAATCTACCAGGAGGAAAATGATGGTTTTTGTTCCCGTAACAATTTATAGCCTCAGAAACCTGACTCTACAACATGCAGCCACCACCACCAAGCTGGACCACCAAGCTGGACCACCAAGCAAGTCTCAACAAATATCAAAAAGACTGCATTACACAAGGTATATATGATTACAATAAAATTTAAGTTAGAAATCAAAAGGAAAAGCACCCCAATTTTTTTAAGTTAGCCAATGCATATCTAAATAACCCATGGTTCAAAAAAGAAATCACAATAGAACTTAGAAAATATTTTAATTGAGTGACATGAATACACATTAACTTGTAGGGTGGAGATAAAGCATTGGTCAGAGGGAGATATGTCATCTAAAAATGTATTATACAAGAAGACTGAAAATTAATTAGTTATTCAAGATCCAGGTCAATAAACTAGAAAAAAGGAGTAAAATAAGCCCAAAGAGAGTAGAATGAAAGAAATAATATAAAACAAAACTAGAAATCAGTGAAATAGAAAACAAACATACAAAGCCAAAAGTTGGCTCTTTGAAAATATTATACAATTGAAAACCCCCTAATAAGATTGATCAAAAGAGAGAGCCCACAAATTATCAGTATCAGGAATGAAAACGGAGACATCACTGTAGATCATAACAGGTTTGTAAATGATTATCAGAGGATACTATTATTATACAATTTATATATGTAAACTAGAAGGTTCAAATTCCATGGGAAATTACCACTTGCCAAAACTGACACAAGAAGAAATAGAACATTTTAATTAAAAAAAATTTTTTTTCAATTGACTCTATAGCTTGAAACCTTCCAATTCGAGGTCCAAAAGGCCTCTTTACTTAATTTTTCTAAATATTTAATGAAGAAACAATACCAATCTTATACAAACTCTTCAATAAAACAGAAAAAGGAGGACCACTTTCATCATAACCTAGACATCAGAATCTGACAAGGTTGCTGCAAGAAAGAAAATTCACCACTCAATCTTTTTGTAGCTTATACACCAAAACTTGTGCAAAATAGAAATAAATTAAATTCAACAGTTGGGTTTGTTTTATTCCAGGATTATAAAATTGGGCTTAATATTCCAAAAAAAAAAAAAAATCAATCAACGTAGGGCTCATCAAAGTTTATTATGAAAGGGCAAAATAAAAGGAATGAGAATAAGGGGACTGGAGGGATGAAATAGTGCCTCTATGAGGAGGCTCGGGGCAGTGGATTAACCATCTACAGGCAACTCACGTTGTTTGGGACCATCAGCTAAAGGCAGATAGATAGCTTTGGGGAAAAGTGAGGAGGGTCAAGGAAATCTCCCCTGAAACTTCTCTAGCTGTAGAAGGGGGAGATTTCCTTGGCCCTCTACCTTCTCTAGCTTCAAAAAGTTAGTTAAGAATGGAATTAAAATTTTCCATAAACCTTTTGAATCCCCCTGGTATAATCACTGAGCTCAGCTTCCTGTCTCGCAGAGAAGCCATAACCAAGCCCTGCTAGCCTACATCACAAGCTTGCCAGGAGACAGCAAGGTGTCTATGATGACTTGGTGGGTGCCTTAGGGACTGCACCCCTGTGACAGGTGGCAGCTATTGAAAAGCCATCACCTTGGCACAGCATGCTCACCTGAGGGGCAGGGGCTGACTGCCCTGCCGTTTGAACGCTCTTTCCAGCCTCTCCTGCGTTGTCCTGGAATTTCCACCAGGCAAGTAGAGCTTCAAGGGGATCCTGTCCGCCTCTGTGCTGCCGTCCACTGCTGAGCTGCCCTCAAACATGTCTCTCACCCTGCCCCTTTCCCGATGGGGCAGCCCTTTGCTTGGCAGGTGGGGTGGGCTGCTGGACGTGGATTTCTGCTTGTCCAAGGCCAGTTCGCTCAGCTGACCCAGGGGGCTCCTGGCAATGGAGCTGGTGCTTGAGACCTCCTCGGGGGCAAGACAGGTAGGGGAGTGGGTGGAGAGATCCGGCACCTTCCGACTCTCTTCCTCTGGGAGCTGGGCCGTGCTGCTCAAAGCTGGGGACCGCCTCAGGGAGCGTCTACGGAGAGCATCCTGAAAGGGCAAAGACAAAAAAGACAATGAGGAGACGAAAAAATACTTTATCCCTCCTCAAGCCTTCACAAACCTCCAGGAATATCTCTTCCCAGTCCTAACTCCTTCTGTTATAATCCTACCTAGTCTCTAAAGCCATATTCAAATGCAACCTCTTGGGAGATGCGGTAGCAATAAACTCTGTAGCTCCTAGGTGTGCATCACCAACTACCAGCTGTACCACTAGAAGCCAAGCATTTCACTCCTCTGTTCTCCCACTTCCCTTGCCTGTAATAGAACCAGTCCATAGTCCACTATCTGTCATTTCAAATCCCAAAGCCCCTGAGCACCAAAGTTTCTTTGGGAATTCTGTGGCAAAATCTTTTTGCTTACTGTTGTCAGGTTACTTGTGATCTTTGCAAGTGTGAAAATGCGTATGTCCAGTGGGGGAAAGGGGAACCCTGGACACACAGTCGGGTAAGCACTGGGCTGCTAACCAAAAGGCTGGCGATTAAAACCAGCCAGCCACTCTGCAGAAGATAATGAGGCTGTCTGTTCCTGTCTGCTCCTGTAAAGAATTTTGGTGTTGTTCTTAAGTGCCATCAATTCGGTCGCGACCCTGTATAGGGTTTCTGAGGAGTGACTGGTGAGTTTGAACCCCCGACCTTGCAGTTCAAACAGCTTTGCAATCTGGCACATTAACCCACAGCGCCACACCAGGACTTACAACCTTGGAAATCCTAAGAAGTGGTTATACTCTGTCATCAGGGGTTGGGATGAGCAGGAATTGGCTCAAGGGCAGTGGCTAGTGGGTAAATGGGATCTGGGAATGCATTTGCTTATTATGAGTGTTACTCTAAGTCCCACTACAAGTTTTATATTGTAATATTGCTTACATGATGAATTTCTTTTCTAAATTTTTGTTTGTTTAAATCTAAATTCAAATG